CCGTCGGATAAACGCTCGATTAATAATCGCCTCCTCTCGTCGAAGGTCGATTCAATGGGCGAAAGATATAGACCCAGACGCAAGCGCACGCGATCAAGACGAGAGCGCGAGAGAAATTAATCGAATTCCAAAGGCGAGAAGATTTTTTTTCTCATTATCCCAGTTTAATTCCCCCCCCCCCCGGGGGGGGGGGGGNGGGGGGGGGCGGAGGTGTTTGAAAAATGAAGAAAAAAGTTGATTAGATTGGGGGATACATTGTAATTAGATTGACTGCAAAAAGATCAATTTAAAATGTCAATAATTGAGGTGAATTATGGAATAATTGGGCAAAACTGCCGGCTCTAACGAGTATTTCTACGGTCAGAGGTCGGCGGGGAACTTTTACACGAGTTTGTTTTTGTAGCCCTGTCGACTCTGACGACTTGCCTTATCTGATGCCACAAAATGGAGAAAGCCAGCAGCGCATTACCGAGAATATTTCCTTCTGTTTCTGACATGAGAGTGAAATAAAATTTTAAAAAAGTAGGAATTCTTTGAGTTTTTTTGACTCTGAAATCTGAAGTATTGTTCATCAAATTCAATAAGCGGACAGAGTAATTTCCCATTTTTTTTTGAACCAGTGAACTGTTGATGCCCTTCCATTATGCCTTTTTCCGATATTCGATTCGATATTCCTTTTTTCAATTAATTAAACAACTAAATATAATCATTATTTACGGTGAAGAAAAGGGTCGATTAGGTGCTTGAAATCCAAAAATAAGAAAAGAAACTTGCGAAATCGTTGAAAAATTGGTGTTCGGGTACTGCCGCATTGAAAACTCGAACGTCGCTATACTCGAACGATCCACTTATTAACTTCACCCGTCAAACAAATTTTCCCGCACCTTATCATCCTTTTCTTCATCAAAATATGGTTCCGAGGATTAAATTCATTGTTTAATGATTGATCTATCACAGGGGAAAATTAAAAAAGAGAAAGGAGCAAAATTACAGTGCAGAAGAGTAGGAGAAGGCACTGGCAGCTCTGAAAACTGGTAAAGCTTAGGAGCAGTGACCACTCTACCAAATACAAAAGACGACCCTTTATGCGAAAAATATAGCAATTGTATATATAACTAATTGAATAAAGTCTTTAATTAACTCGACACGTTAGAAGAATCATTTAACGTGGTACACGAGCACAAGAAACTGCACCGTTCGGGTTTAGGGCGTTGGTCGTTCGGGTACTGACGCTTCGACCGACTCGTCAATTTTGCTTTTACCATTATCCACAGGTGCATGAATTTTATATCAAATTGATTTTTTTCTACACGAATGATATTGAGGTTTACAAAGAATTGATTTTTTTGGCGATTCTACATCTGAATGAGAAAAACGCATTTTATTACTGGAAAATTCTTACACGTTCGGGTACGGGCACGAATTATCAATCAGAAGAATGGCCCTATTCATTTACATTTCATAATTAAATGTGAATATTCATGCAGTACAATGTCTCCAAATCTGAGTTGATCAATGCAAAGAATCAGAATATAAGCGAACGAGAAATAGAGAATTTGACAAAGTAAAATATGACGTACAAGCGGAAGCGGAGTAAACAGAAGCGGTGATACGACCCGAAGAGGAATTACACGCGAATCACCGATTTACCCCTTGCAATAATCAAGATAGCAAGAGTAATCGTGAAGTTGTATGAATGAAGGTGGGGAATAAAATGACGATTCGATTTGAAATACAGCGTTACAACTTACCGGTTTGCTGTAAAAGGTAAAAGAAGTTGGGGACAGGGGAGCACTTTCCACGTTGGATACGACCGGTGTGGCGCAGGCCGAGACGATTCGCAAGGGGACAGGAAAGACTCAAGTTAGTGGTGAGAGAAGGAGAGAGAGAGAGAAAGAGAGAGAAAGAGAGAGATTTCAATAGAACACCCTCTCAACGTCAGGCACAGGGCCATGTCTGCTCGACCAAAATGTGCCATCCCCCCTCTCTCTTTCTCCCTCTGCGTCAAAAAAAGGAATTTCACTCCCAAACTTTCCTTTTTTTTACATTTCTCGTTCTTTTTATCCTTCTATTGACGCATTCCTTATTCACATGTCGTACAAACTTGTTTTGCAAATAAAGTAAATGGGAGTGAGGGAGAAATGGGAGTGAATTTTTCGGGTGAATTTTTAGATACTGTGTGGAGGAAATATTAATTTCAAGAGTGAAGTGGTGAAAGGAGATGAGTTGAAAACAGATCTGAAGATTATTTTGCGAATGTTTCTGAAAGGATTGGACTGGGCGACATTCATTGGCGGACCTTTTTGTTGGGAATTTTAAGGTCTTGAAAAAAAGTCTTTTCATATTATTGTATAATCCCAGTCATTTTTGAGATAATGACGAAGTAATTTGTAGGGATTTTTTTATTACTCCAAAATGTATTTGCAGTACTTCGGAAATATCTTCGGAGCTGCTGGTTATGCAAAGAAAATTCAAAGGAGTTGTTTTGTAGGAAATTGTAAGCTTCAGACCAATATCTTTTGGCATTTCTTCTTAAGCGACTAACTCCAGAGATATTCATCAACTAATCCACTCAAATTACCATTCACCTTGACATTTTGCCTTCCATTCACTAGCCCTAGAGATATTCACTAAATGATCGACTGGCATTGTCCATCACCATCTTAGCACATTTGATACTCTTCTATTCATAAAATCTCGAAGGAATTTAATGAACTACTAAATAGGTCTTCTGGAATTTTTCACGAATCCACATACATTTCGAGATAAGTGCACAATAATTTATATAAAATTATTCATGACTCCAGAATAAATTCTCAGAGTATTTAAAAAATGCCTGCGGAAGCACTAGGTTTACGAAAAAAAATTTAAAAAGCCTTCTCTTGAAATTTTAAGACCTTTAAAAACATTTCTTGCCATTTTCTTTTAAATCTACTAGCTCCACAAATATTCACTAACTGATCCACTCAAATTCTGCATCTCGCCATATTTCATCCTCTTCTACTCACCAAATCTCAAAGGAATTCAATGAATTACAAAACGGGTCCTGTGGAATTTTCCTCAAACCCTAATGCTGTTCGCGTTAAGTGCAAAATAATTTATATAAAATTCTTTACAACTCTAGAATGAATTCACAGGATATTTGAAAAATATTTGCCGAAGCACTAGGTTTACATAAAAAAATTTTAAAAAGTCTGCGCAAAATTTTTAGACCTCCAAAAACTTCTTTTGACATTTTCCCTTGAATCTACTATCTCCAGAGATATTCACGAACTAATCCACTCGAATTCTCCATCTCTCCACATTTCATCCTCTTCTACTCACCAAATCTCAAAGGAATTCAATGAATTACAAAACAGGTCCTTTGGAATTTTTATCAAACCCGAATACGTTTCGAGATGAGTGCAAAATAATTCCTATGAAATTCTTCATGGTTGCAGAATGAATTCTCAGAGTATTTAAAAAATATCTCCGGAAGCACTAGGTTTACCCTAAAAATTAGAAAACCTTATTTGTGTAAAATTTCAAGACCTCTAAAAATATCTCTTAATATTTTTCCTCGAATTTACTAGTTCCTGAGATATTCACAACTAATCCACTCAAATTCTCCATCTCTATCTCTCCACATTGCATCCTCTTACATTCACCAATTCTCAAAGGGCTTCAATGAATTACAAAACAGGTGCTTTCGAATTTTCCTAAAACCCGAATACATTTTAAGATAAGTCAAATAAATCCTATAACATTCTTCATGACTCTAGAATGGATTTTCAGGGTATTTTAGAAAAATCTCCGGAGGCACTAGATTTACACAAAAAAATAAAAAACCTGTACCTCCAAAAACATCTCTTGACATTGTCTCTTGAATCTAGTATCTCCAGAGATATTCACCTATAATCCATTCAGATTCTCGATCTCAACCTCTTCACATTTCATTTCCTCTTCTATACACCAAATTTCAATGGACTTTAATGAACTACAAAACGGGTCCTTTAGAATTTTTCTCAGGCTCGAATGTGTTTGGAGCTAATGAGTTAATAATTTTCACGAAATTCTTCATAACTCCGAAATGGATCCTCAGAGAGTATTTCAAAGATATTCCCGGAGTCACTAGCATTACAATAAAAACTCAAAACCTTTTCTTGTAGGAAACGTGATATTTTCCCTTACTAGCTCCAAAGAAATATCTTTACATCAAATAATTAAAGAAATAACTAGCACCAAATAGACTTTTTTAAAATTATTCATAACTCGGAAACAAATGTATCAATATTGCTCCGTTTAGGCTCATCACAAAGGGAAAGAATTGTTCTTTGTACTGAAAAAAAAAAGATTGAATTTCATCAACATTTCACCCGTCACGAATATTTTTAAAAAAGTCAATAGTGTCCAGTTTACCCGAACCTCTCCTAATCAATCCATCTCCTCAACTCCAATCCTTCAGGATTCCTTCCTCTTCTACGCATCAAATCTCAAAAGATACTAATGAACCGTAAAACCGGTCCTTAACCATTACCCTATGCCCAAATACGTTTCAAAAAAATGACTTCAACAAAATAATTTCTTTAAAATTCTCCACAACTCCAGACCGAATTCCCAAAATATTTCAAAAATATCTCCCGAGCGACTAGATTTCCCCAAAAAATCAAAAGTCCGTACATAACCCCAAGCCCCCCAAAAACCTCTCGACATTCCATCCTCTCGTCTCCACCAAATCCATCCCAAGAAACCCAATCTCCAAAAATCCTCAAAAACCCTCCCCCACGCAAATGTCGACCTTCACCTAAAAAATTCACCTTTCCAGATGAAAATTACAATTCCCCCGACTTCTGCAGACGCCGTTGGTGCGTCCCCTTGGAATACCTCCCGCATTCCGTCACTCTGGGCCAGGTAGACCTAATCTCGCCATCTCTGCCCCCATAAATCCCCCTCCCCGCCCCCATAAAATTCCCCCTCCACACCCTGAAAAAAAAATTGATTCAACCATCCTCAATATTTACCTTATTCTTTCGGCCTCCAGCGCTTTTCCTTCGTGAAATCGTGCTCTCCTTGTCTCTCCTTCAGACGCGCAGAATCATCTCGCGCGGCCCCGTTGCCTTCGATCCTTTACACACTTGAAAAGGTAACAACCCCTTATCCACGGAGCTGATTAAGCACTTTTACCATAGGATATTTCGCTGTGGCCGATAACACGCGACCCTTACACCACAGCTCCACCGGTACTTCTCACCCACACACTACTATTCACTTTATTTACGATTATTATTTATATTTCCCGGATGCCTCCCCCGAATTCCCCGAAGTAGCTGTCACCCAACTCTCTCTTTCTTTCCCACCTTTTAATTCCGTTTCTAATAAATAATTACGTCAGAGGGCCTGTGATGTGTCTACCGTGACCCCAAACACTGGACTCAGGTGTGAGTCAACGGCCAGACGACAAAAAAAATACTCCAAACAACCCCGTCTCCCTCACCAACTCAAAACAACGATTGTCTCGTTACTTCTCTCCGCAATCCACCAATTCCATTAAAACCCCACAGAATGCACTTCACTTCACACAACAATGGACAAAAAATTTATAATAAATCTCACGATCGACGATTTACGTAAGATTTACGATCTCTTGTATAAAAAATGTTCACAGATATGCACACACTGAAATCACTCGTTTCCTCGTTTTATCAATTTCCTCAAATTTTCCTCACTCCAATCACCGACACGGCGAACCTCGTGGTCTCTCTCTCACTCTCTCCTGTCACGACGCGCCGGTTGTCTACGATAAAAGGTCGATCCCACCCCACGGATCGAAAATATTCGAGATAATCGAGGCTGTATGCCGTCACTCGTGGATAAGAGCGCACCAGTGGAAACACATGAGCCCCCGAAAAAAAAAACGTCACGAGAGAGGTTAAACTCGTACGTGACAACGAGGCACGTTGAGTCCCTCCCGAGTGGTATTATTGACAGCTAGCATGACTCGAATGGCACCATCGGTTCATCCAAGAATTAAACTCCCCTTTTTTCAATTGAAAACTCCACTTTTAAACGAAAATTCTCGAAAAAGTCGTCTGTTGTATCGAGAATCCACAGCACTGGAGTCCGCTCCGTTGGTTATTGCCGAAGGGGCGTGAGAAAAGGGCAGAATGAAGGAGAATGAAACAAATGTAGAGGCCGTGCCCTTTTCACAACACAGGGACAAAATGTAAACCCGGGATACTGCAAACAATCCGGCACTTTTCCTGCCTGCTATTACCAATCCCCTCTATTTTTCACGAGCAAACCTCTCCATTGCTCAACAAATTAATAAAATTCCTTAGAAAATTCACCTCAACTCGATTTATATCACCACTAATGACTGATCTATTAATTGTTATCGACAATCAACAAATAAAAACAGGTATGAACACGTCTCACAGTCACACACTCGCGTTCACTGTCCTCCAGTCGTGAATCGGATCTACCGGCGGCGCGCATTCCCGTGCTGAACGGCGCTAAAATGGCGATCGAAGTGACAGCTAGGCTCACACCGTAGCCGACAAGATTTTAATTCAACACGTATAACCTCCAGGACCAACGAAAACTCGGTGCAATCACGTCAATAATTCCTCTCGGTTTGTTAATTATTTATTGACAAATCGATTGGCCCCCCCCCCGGTGTCCCGTAAACACTTTTATTTTCAGTCGCCCAACGTTGCCAATCGGCTCGCGTCTCCGACAACACACACCCTCGGCACCGCTGCACCCTCTCGACGCTCGATGGCAGTTTTATTATTTCTCGACCCCCCCGTTATAAACGCCGTCGCGCCACCTTGAAAAGCCGTATTTTGTAGTTGCCCGGACCACTCACGGGACTCGACTGGGGCTCCGCTTACCCGTAAGCCCTGGTCTACCCCCTCTCTCGCGCCCCACTACTGACTCCATCTACTGGAGGGGGTACTGTCGGTTGTGAGGACATTGGGCACGCGTGTTGTAGCAACCGTTCAGGATATTTACGCCGTTGGCGAATGGACTCCCACACCCGCGGAATCAGCAATCGGGGGGCTTCCCGGTTGTCATCGGAATTTTTTTAATTATTTGAAACCATTTTCGAGGGTTCCATTTGGCGGGCTTTTGTAGAATTTTAAACGGAGGGAAACAGGGCCTGGGGACGTTGCGCCAAGCTCTGTTAGTGAAATAACTCGTCCGAATGTTTGGCTAACATTCACGGCTATTTTTTGGATGTGCACAGAGGGAAATATTCAATAAAAATTACGTATCCTTTCCGTAACTAGATTAGTCCGCGCGCGTATGTCCTACTCTATGAGGCTTAATGTAGGTCAGTTGTAGTGAATACTATTATATATTGCGTATTTCAGGAATGGATTGTATTTTTTTATGTATAACACATCCCGTCTAACGTTTTTGAATATTCAAGAAATTAACTGATTCGCCAATGAAAATATATCCAGAACTTTCATGTAACTTTGTCGTTGTTAAAAATTTCAAACTTTTTCACACGGAGAGAAATGTTCAATAAAAATTATGGATCTTTTCCGTAATTCTGGGGCGAAATGTGGTTGTAGGAAATTTTACGGAACTATCACGGATTTTTTCCAGAGCGTTCCGTAATTTTTATCTGAATCTCCTGGGAAAAATTACGATACCGTCGCTTAAACTTTCTGAGTTGATTCCGTAATCGGTGAGTGAATTATTAGTTCCGTAATTTTTACTGAACATTTCTCTCCGTGCACTCAAAATTTCAAGAGTAATTTTCCAACAGTGTAAAGTTTGACCCTCGCGATTCTCACGTACTTAATTTTCTCCTCATTATCCTCCTTGTAATATTCTCTAAAAAAACAAACATCGTAACTGTGTCAAACCGGCGATTTTGTCATTACTACGTGAAGACTCGCGGTGAAGACCACTCACATGATTCTCCGATTGTTATTATTTCAGTAGCGAAGTGGTGAACCGGTATAAGTCGATTTTGACTATTGCCCAGTTTTCAATAAATATTTCAAAATCTAAGGGAAATAGCAAAATTTTTGTCATAACCTGTTTTGTAGCGCAAATTGAGAGCTACAAAAAAGGAAATAACAACAATTTCGTCATTTCCCTTAGATTCCGAGATATTTATTGAAAACTGGCCAATAGTCAAAATCGACTTATACCGGTTTACCACTTCGCTACCGATTTAAATTTATTTTACTTTTCACAGCGTTTTTCCAGAATTTTCAGTGTTTCTCGTAAATTTTTCGAACTATAGTTTCGTTGGGATGTGAGGAACCCGCAGTTGTGGAGCAGATGAGGAGAAAATTGGAGCCAATTTCCGTGTTTTCGGAAATTTCTTAGTGTTTAAGAGGAGCGGGCATACCTGCCCCCCCAGGTGGCGCTACCGGACGACTCGGGAATGCATCCGAAGGACTGAGGAACGAGAAATATTCGCGGGGTTGATTTTTATGGTTTCTGGAAGGCAGAAAAAGAAGGACGAAGATTTTTAGAGGTATTTGGGAGGCATGTCCCGACTTTTATGAGAATTTTTTTCATTTTCAGGCGATGAATGCATTTGAATACTGTTTTTTTTTCCTCTGGAGTTTGGTTGGAGCAGTTGAAATTATCGTGTATTTGGTAAATAAATTGAATGGAAGCACTCATATTGCTGCTGGGTTGCGCTTTTTACGACGATAACATTGAAAAAATTTAGTGAAGCGCGAGGGAAAAAACGAAATCCTCAACGCGTGCCATTTGTTTGATATTTAAAGGCCGGGCTCATCCAGCGAAGGCGGACACGTGCTACGCACGTGTGAGCATCACAAAAGAGAAGATACATGTGATCAAAGAACACTGGCTTTCGAATATTTTGCGTCAGTCGATTGTCTGGGCAATTTTTAATATAGAATGATAAGAGTTATGAGTGAGATACCATTATCCCGACCCCCATTATTTGGATAAGATATTTGAAAAATGAATAAACAATCGAGTGGCTGAGTTCTTCGGAGCCGTTCAAGTGCTAAAAATGACAAGCTAAACTGTGAGATGTTCAGCGGCGTTGAGGGTGCTCAGTAGTTGGATCGGTGACCGTGAAAAAAAAATTGGGACTGAGATGCCTGAAACGTGACGATGTGATTCCAGTCTGACGACCTGTTTTGAAAATCATGCTTTTTACGAATTCTGTTGTCCATTAGTGATAGAGAACATTTCGATGGCGGCTTTTTTTTCATTGATTGAGGATGTCCAAGTATCTTTTACAGTTTGATGCAGACCACACTATAGATTCTATCATTTTCAATCACCAAATTGGTCAATTGAAGTGCACGAAAAAAATTTGAATACACGGAGAGAAATTCAGTAGTAATACCGGAAGAGCTTCAAAATTATAGGGTATTTCCTGATAGCTTCGTTGCAAACAAATGAGGCTGTCAAGTTGTGCAGGTTAACATAGTATATTTCGTAACGAGCGCAAAAAACATTTTTTCACGAGTTACGAAGAATATTTTTCATCACAATGTGGCGGAAATTGGACCTTTAGGCACGCGGAGCGTGCCGATAAGTTCACTTTTCGTCACAGCGTGATGAAAAATCCTAAGCGCTTGCGCGAGTGATTTTTCTACAAAACTTGGCACGATGGTTTGTTTGCAGGGGAGCTTGAGGGAAATACCCGATTAATTTTGAATCTCGAGGGGTATTTGTCGGATTATTTGTTCCAATCGGATTTTGGCCGAACATAGTGCAGTGGACAACATCAGGAGGTGAATTGGGGAAGATCTGAACAAATTATGTCAATAGAATAACCCGATTTCCATAGACTGTCAAATATGAGATTCTATCGGAAATGAGCCGAAAAAATGAAGAGCTACTGCGAAATATTCAGGGAAAAAAACTTAAGAACTACTGCGAAATATTCAAAAGCTAGGAGGAAATATCAGAAATAAAACTGTCGGGTAGCCTCCAATACTGCGCTCTGATTGGTCGAAATCCGATTGGGAAAAATAATCAGTAAAAATTACGGAACTCTCTGGAAAAATTCCGTGACAGTTCCGTAAAATTTCCTGCGACCATATTTCGCTCTGGAATTACGGAAAAGATACGTAATTTTTATTGAATATTTCTCTCTTTGTAAAATCATGGATATTCAGCATCATTCAAATTACATTCTGCACAGAATTATAATTTTTTAAAGCATTCGTTGTTTATAAATAAATAAATTTTGTTTTACATATAAATAAATAAATTGAAATTGGCATTCAAAGTCACGACTTCCGCAAAAAATAACTCAAACAATTTCGAACGATGAGAAAAGCCTCATTTATTTTTCAAAAATTTCCTAAACCTATGAAGTTGAAGTTCTGTAGCAACAACACGCAACAGAATATACTCTGGATTTTCTGGATCAGCTTCAGCATTGGTAACAGTGATTTCTTTGTACAGCCACGCTGCAGAAGAGCTTCCCGATTTAACTCTAATCACCATCGAAGTTCTCGCCGTCGCTGATAACAATTCCCTCTCAATCTGTTGCCTCAATAAATCAATACCTAAATTGTGAATAAATCCATTAGTCATGATTGCATGAAACATTAACGATAGTGGAATATTCTAGTTCATCATGAATTCATGAACCCACCAGTGGAATTGACTGCCGATACCCCCAAGATATTTTCAGGCACTGTTCCACTCGGTATCAAGTCGCATTTATTAGCAACTTCGATTAACGGTTTCTCCTTTGTTTTCAAATCTATCATAATCCTGGCAAGTGTTTCGCGTACGTGCTCTATCTGCGCCTCTTTGTCTGGATGACTCGCGTCAAATACATGAACAATGACATCCTGAAACATTAATTCATGCCGTCTTAACGAGAGAATATCTAATTCACTCGGCAAACACGTGTGAATGCTACAGTCAAGTCATCACGCAAGACAAAGTAAATGTTTGGAAACGTAATGTTTCGCTGTTAGTCAGCTGTTGAAAAATTCCGGGAAGACAAATGAATCACATCGATTGGAGCTCTGAGGGAAACGGACTGGTCAGCTGAAAATAAATGGCATGTCTAACGTGAGGAATTGTGATAGAGATTTCATTTTAATTTAACAAGAACATGTTTGAGGATGTCAACAACTTCACATGAATGGAGACGGAGTATTGCGCTGACGGGGGATTATTGCTATCTTTATTGTTTGCATACTCCCTAATAACTTTGCCTTCATTCCTCTCTCGAGTCCTTATTCTTTGCAAAGAATAAAGAAAATCGTGCATTTTTCCCTCCAACTTTTTTCCGAGTTAGTATCCTTTGAAATGAAGAAAGAAATTTATTTTGTAAATAAAGAAGAAGTAATGTTCACGAAATTTTAACAATCGTGTATAACACTTCATTAATGTTTTAGTGTTTAGTAACTCATTGTTAGGTCTTGTTAATTGATAGCAAATTTGTTCAATATTTTTGGAATGTAGTTTTGCTTGAGAAAATTCCTTTCAATTTTATAAAAACATGTGTTTGTCAATAATGTATCGTAAATGGATACGATATATTGTACTGACGGCGGTTTATTGCTGTCTTTATTGTTTTCATACAGTCCAATTGTTTTCCGTTATTCTTCTCCCGAATTATTATTCTTTAAAAAGAATAAAGAAATTTATTGTACAAATAAAGAAGAAGTAATGTTCACGAAATTTTAACAATTGTGTATAACACTTCATTAATGTTTTAGTGTTTAGTAACTCATTGTTAGGCCTTTGTAATTGATAATGTTTTTATTGAATATTTGTGAAATATAATTTCGTTTGAGGGGATTCATCTTTTTTGTAGAGCCGATTGAGTGCTACAGCAAATTTGATTACGAAAATTTCGCTATTTCCCTTAGATTCGGAAATATTCCTGAAAAACTCAACTTAGAGATAAGTAGTCTTGAACCATTTTACCCCTACGCTACTGAAATAATCTCCGAAAAGGGAAAAAATCGACAAAACTCACCGCTAAAATTGCATCCTCGAAAGTAGCCACAAAAGGTTCGATCAAGTCCTCAGGAATATCCTGAATGAAGCCGATAGTATCCATATAAAGGACCTTCAATCTACAAGGTAACAGTCCTGCATGAGCAGTGGTATCCAACGTGGCGAATAATTTATTCTCTGGCACAAGGGACTCGTCCCCAGTCAGTGCCTTGATGAGACAGGTCTTGCCAGCATTGGTGTACCCCACAACAGCCACACTAGGGATATCCCTGATCGTCCTGCTGCTCCTGATCATCTTCCTGTGCTCCCTGAGTTTCTTCAGAGAGTTTTTCAACTTGGCTTCCCTAGCATGTAGTACCATTCTCCTCGACTCGCTCAGGTTGATCTTCCCCCCGGTGTCCTCCTCAGTGAGAGAGATCTTCTTCCAGATGTAAGGCAACTCAGCGAGAGCCACCTGGAGCTTCGCCTCAGTCGTCTTCGCGTGTTCCCGAAATATCTGGATGACTATGGAATATCTATCGTAAACTGGAACACCGAATAAACTCTGGAGCTCCGTCACCTGGACAATTAATGCCAGAATAAAACGTAAATATTGACATTTTACTTTTCAACACATTGTGAAGGCAGTTTACAAATTTAACCCCTCGCGTACGGGGCCTTTCTGTTACGAAGCCTGACGTGCGCTTAATATCACTGAGATTCGATAAATTCTGCTGCATGAAAAATTATAAAATTATAAATTGAAGCTACACTGTTCAGCTTTCGAATAGCGTTGGCGGAATCGGATTATTTGTCACAGTTTTGGAATTATCCAGTTTTGAACAGGATCATGCGTTTTTGCTTGGGTCCATATCGAGGATCCCGTCCTTGAGGGGTTAATATTGTAAATATCAACACAACTGACAAAAGACATCTTTCATTTCTCCAACGTTTCTTCAACTTTCAGACTGAATTAACATTTTGCATGGATAAAAAAATCAACGAAAAAGTTAAGAGATAAAAAGTGGAAATAACCAGACGATGTTTCGTGAAAGTGAGCTGAAAAGATCGTGAAATGTAGTCTTTTGTCATATTTTACACAATTTTTGTTGCTCATCCGCGAAAAGTTACGTTACAAAACGTAAAATTCTTCACATTTCTCCATAATTTCAAATAAAAATACCCATAACTGAAACAGGGGACTTTATTTAATTAATTTGAATAATATTCATAATTACCTGCGGTTGTGGCCAAGGGATTAGCTTAATTAATTTATAATATCCGAAATGGGGGATCAGGGTGATCAATTAAATGGGACAAAGGAGAATTATTTTCATAATTTCGCTCGTCGATTGGTTTTTCAGTGTTGAATGTATGATTTTGATCATTTACTCACCTGAACATGTCTCAGTAAATTAATACTAATGAAGACTGCAGTGATGTTGGGATCTTTTCTAACTTTATCCCTCAGCATTTCCAGATTCCCTTTTCCAAACAAGCTATTCTTCTTGAGAGACATCAGTCCGATGCGCATTGCCTCCACCACAGACCAGTTGTTCAGTGTTTCTATCAGAGCCACTGCTTCCTGCAGTTGCAGATCAGCAGTCGTATTTTTTCTTTTATTACGCCCGTGTTTAATGTGGGGCTGAATAACCAGGGCTCCATGACCAGCTAAATTCGGGTTGAGATACTGTCTCGATATCTCTGTATATTCAGAGTCCAGATTGATCTCTGAGAGCGGTAGTTTCTCTTTCTCCGAGGATTCACTGATGAATCTGGAGATTGTCCAGGATTTTTGGGGGATTTTGCTTGTGAAGGCAGACTCCAAGCATTTCTTCTGGGAGTAGAAGGGGAAGAGCTGAGTGACATGCCTTAATTTGTAGATTGAGATCATTTTTGAAGGTCCAGAGACTAGAGCTCATACGGTATGTAGTCGTACTTTTCTGCTAGCTTCTTGTCGCAATTTTTCTTTGTAGTTTCAGCTATCTGCTGAGCTGCAACCAGAGCAGATATGAATCCAGTCACTGCTCGTACTTCAACCGATGTCGGAATGAATTTCAATCTTTTGATGATGAAGGGAACGGAAAATACCACTGAAAGAAAATGGGGACTTGAAATTTGAATGGTGAAAAATTGCTGTTAGAAATCACGAATGAAAAAATTTAATAGCAAAACCTAGCGAATTCGCTTGATAATTCTATTGGATTTCTATTGAACTTTCTATTAGTTTTTGGCCGATTTTATTGAAATGTTCAATGGAAAATATTCTGTAGAAAAAGTCAAAAGAATTCTATTTTTCTATAGAACTTATTCTATTGAGATATTATCCTCGAGTTAAAAATGTTAAAAATAAAATCAAAATAAATACAACACACGAACTTCTCGCATTCTGCTTTATTACTGAAACTTCAATCATTGCAAAATTTCACATTCTAAACTCTGATTACAATTACCTCCCAAAAAAGCACCGCATCCAGACCAAAAAGCCGATTGAGAACAGTTAATGAGTTGATCAGTGTACTCCCGTTCCTTAATAACTATTTTCTCCTTGACTTGAATTTTTTTCTGCTCCACTCCAGAACTCTCAGTATTCATTTTTACTTAAAACTCCAATTGACAATTACTCATTCGATTTATTGTACTGGAGTTATTTTGGAGCAATAACGGGTGAACACGAGTATCCTTACGTAATGAAATATAACCTCTGAGTCTTGAAGTATTACAAAAGATTAAAAACTGTCACAACACTCTCTCCTCACAGAATAATAAATTTCTGCGTAAAAATCCTCGAATTGGTGGCGTTCGAGTGATTGTTGTGCCTTATCAGTCAACAATTGAGTGCTTTTGGGGGCGCGTTTCGCAATCGACTTAGTAGCAGTAGCAGTACTGTAACCCTATCTAATTTCGCTTTACTGCAGCTACGGTAGTTGATTCCGAAACGCACCCTGGAGTGACAACAATGATAAACCTGAAGTTGATCGATTGAAGTGGTTGTAAAACATAACCTCTGAGTCTTAAGCTATTACAAAATGTTTAAAAAACTGCCTAACAACAATTTCTCCTCACAGAATAATAAATTTCTGCGCAAAAATCCTCGAACTATTGGCGCCCGAGTGATTGTGTGCCTCATCAGTGAACAATTAAGTGTTTTTGGAGTCACAACAATGAAAAACTTGAAGTTTGTCGTTTGAACTAAATTTCGAGAGTCTCGAAGAGCCACGTGAGTCCATCTGCTCCTGAATTCACGTACACTAAATTGTGCAACGGCACTTACGGCAATGTGGCTGTCACAGTTGACTCCCCAAATGATGTTTTAGTTAATTAGCTCGTAAAAAACCCAGAAAAATGGAGCCCGGTACACTGACCAAAGTTCTCAACGACTTCTACACGACAGTCGAGGGTGAACTCAGTCTGTCAAAGGGTGAATTCTTCCTGGTACGCATCACCCAGGGGATCAGGTTACATTGATTGAATTCCAGTGGTGTTATCTCTGTTATTTTAATCAGGAATTGTTCTAGATCCATAACGTCATCGATAAACACTGGTGCTATGGAATGTCGAGAGACAGGAGGGGCAGTTTTCCCTGTAATCACCTGCTTAAAGTTGAAGTGCCTCAGTTCAAGGAGACGGAGAGTCTTTTTGTGTCGATTGCTGCTTTTCGAGGAGAACAGCAGGGGGATTTAATTTTTGGTGAAGGTAAATGGTTCGTTTAAACGATTTTTTAAAATATTTGGTTGCATGAGGGGACAGGAGGGAAAATAACAACAGGTGGTTATTTTTACGTGAGAATAGAAACAAATTTTTTAATCTTCTGAGCTCAGTTGACGCAATTGGAGAACTTTTTCATCGTCGTCATGTAGTCAAAGGGCGTTGGTGGGGTGTATAAACATAAATCATGAGTTTGTTTTTGAGAAGATTTTTTTCTACATTATTTTGGAGATGGTGAGTCTTCTATAGGTCGATGGTTGTTTTTTCACACGGAATAGGAGATAAATTTAATTCTCATCGGAGGTAAATGGTTGGTTTAAACGATTTGGAAAAGTATCTAGTTGTTAAATGAAGTGGGAAAAGAAGGGAAAATAGCAACAGGTGGTTATTTTTACTTGAGAATGGAAACCGATTTTTTTATCTGTGATTTTTTAAATGTTTTTTCATTTGTTTGTTTTTTAATTAAAAAATCTGGTTCAATTCTCAAGTAAGTTCAGTAAATGCAATTGAGGAACATTTATATCATGATTTTGTTTTTTTTACAGTTTTTTTTATCATTAAGGAGAGTCTTTTATCTATCGAGTGCTATTTTTCGAAGGCTACTTCAAGGGGATTCCATTTTTGTTGGAGATCAATCATTAGCTTCCCGATAAGAGAAGTTATTTTTTTGGCTATTTGGGGGATTAATGCCTGAGAAATGGAGGAAAATATATCAACAGACATTTTTTTTACTTGATAATGAGAACCATTTTATTTCTATTCTTCAAGGCTCGGTAGATGCAATTGAGGAACATTTTACCTCGTGTGCCAGACTTTTAAAAGATTTCATCAATTTACAGGTGAATTGATCATTGGAACCCACGAAGTAGAGTCTGGATGGTATTCTGGTCGTACAGACAGTCGAACAGGTGTTTTTCCACTGACTCACGTGTGGATGGTTGATCCTATAGTCCTTAAGGTAATTAGAAAAAATACGAATTCATTGAGTGAAGTAGGAGAAGGTCCACGTCCTATTAAACTTTAAATGTTTTAATGGGGCTCCCCCGAGATTCAAGTATCCATGAACTTCCAGATTTTTATTCGAATATGCATGTTACATTCTCCCGGGAAACAGATATATTTTCAGAATTTCATGATACTGCAAAAGCAATCAGGAAATCACTAGATTCCTAATTAAACCCTCCCCCATCAATTAAATCAACTCGAAAAAAGAATTTAATTCTATCAATTCTTAGTTTACTTGATGGTGCTTCCGTTTGTAGGACCTTTATTGGAAATTACCACATAAATTTTCAACACTACTTCTCTTCAATTACGGAATTTTCCACAAACGAATTTTTTTTGTATAAATTATCAGAAGACACTCCATTTTCCAATTTCCTCTTCCTCCAAAAAATCTCTAAAAAGTGTCTACTTATTATCTCTCCATCATTCAACACTTCCCCTCCAAAACAACTAAATTAAAAATTGAACTCTCCCTCATCAATGAATTAAATCGCCCGTTTAATTCCCCCCAGAGACCAGCAGACAAGAAATCAGTCCGTAGAAAAGCCCGCGTGAAGACGACCCTGAAAGCCCAACTTGCCGAGGAGCTCGACCTCTCAGAAGGTGAAATCGTGACAGTAACCGAGATCCTCGAGGACGGTTGGGTGCTGGGCTGTACCTCCGACAACCGCACAGGCACCTTCCCCGAGGCCTTCATCACCTACCTCGAAAGTATGGACCAGCCAGACGAAGCCTGTGGTCCCCTCGACCCCATCCCCCAGTCAATCACCTCGGGGGGAAGAATCTACAAGGACTTCGGTGACTCCTCCAGCCCTTCCTCCCACTACGAGGATCCAGCACCCTCATACTACGACCTTTTCCCGGACACGCAACCCCCAGCGCCCCAGCACCCCCCAGTCCCCCCTCCCTGTGAAGGGCCCCCAGATCCCTCCCCCCCACCAGAATTCGACAATTTAAACCCCCTAGGGGTGCACCCCTACGCAATCACTCTCTACCCCTTCAACGCTCATTTCCCCAATGAATTAAACTTCGAGGCAGGTGAAGTGGTGCATCTGCTGCGTCACATCGACACAGAATGGGCAGAGGGCACGATAGAGTCCTCCAAAGGGCTCTTCCCCACCTCCTACGTCAAGATAATCGTCGACTGCAGGGATTCCCCCCCTCCAGAGGGCCCGAAGGACCCCCAGGAGCCTCTCCGCCTAGAACCCCTGGAGCCAGGTGACCTAGCAACAGTGGAATACACCTTCAATGCACAAATGAGTGGAGACCTGAGCATAAAAGAAGGTGACTCGATCACAGTCCTCGAAATGGCCAACGACGACTGGGTGTCCGTGACAAACACCTCTGGAGAGGTTGGTCTCTGCCCCAGAGGATACCTCTCCAAGCAATCCCCATCCGAAGTTACCCTGGAGGCCAACGACATTGAAGACTGCGTCGTAATCCGCAGTCACGAGCGATCAAAAACCCCAGAAGAGCAAAACATTCGACGAAAATCAGAGCCCCATCGTCCAGCACCTCCAGCCCCAGCCCCAGGCTCCATTCCCCTCCAGAAATTTCTGCCCAATCATCAGGAGAAAAGCCAAACAGAAGTGCAACAATCAAACGAGATCACCGCAACCCCCTCAGAATCCTCGTCATCAAAACAGAAAAGAGCAGACAAACGTCAGAACGTGATCTCAGAGCTGGTGATAACTGAGAAAGAATACGTTAGAGATCTCAAAGTGACGTACGAGACATTTAACCTGTACAATCCAGGTCACCTGGAGTCTCGTGGGATCGACGTGGTCGTTCTATTCGGAAATATCCTGGAGGTGATCCACGTGGCAGAGGAACTTCTGGATTTGATCCTGCGAGCAATGAAGGGAATGGACGAGGACCTCCAGACGATAGCCCCCTGCTTCCTGGTGATGAGGGATAAACTCCAGACAACTTACGATAAATACTGTGGGAACCACGAGACAGCTCTGAGTCTCCTGAAGAAATACGAGGAGAACAGGGAGATAATGAGAATCTTCGAGAAGGGGATAGAGACCCTGCGACATCAGGTCGTCTGCTTCGACATGAGCTCCATCCTCATAAAGCCAGTCCAGAGGATTTTAAAATACCCACTGATGCTGTATGAGCTCGTCAAGTGCACTGAGGATGATCATCCAGATAAGCAGGGCATCGAGCAAGCCTGGAAGGTGATGACAGAGGTGGCGTCCTACATTAACGAGTCCAAACGACGTAAGGACATTGTCTCGAAGTGCCTGGACACTGACAACACCCTAATGGCCAAGATGTCGAAGCTGAATATGCACTCGGTGGCGAAAAAGTCGAGCAGGTTGAGTGCTAAATTATCAGCGAGCTTGGGGATGACGAATATCCCAGGGGATCCAGCATTCGAGGAACTTGAGAGGCAGTTCAAAGCTCTTGAGAAGTGCAGCTCGCAGTTGGCTGCAGACGTAGATAAGTGCATGTATTTTTTGAACGAGGAGACCAACTGCGCTGAATTATTATCGCATTTCCTGAATGAGTATCATTATGGGAGCAATGACAACGAGGTGAGACAATTGAGTGAGGCCAGGAGGAGCATTTCCTCTCAGTTTATTAATAATTTAAAGGAACGTATTAAGAGGAGGGTGAATGAACCTGTGTCTTTGTTAATCAGTTTGCTGGAAGGGCCTGCTTTGTTGATTACTAAACGAGGGGATAAATTACTGGATTATGACAATGCCATCTCGAGGGGGGAGAAGTATCGAGAGTCCAGAGTCGTGCAGGAGGAGCTGGCAACTGCTAAGACTAATTATGAAGCTCTGAACCAACAGTTGATGGAGGAATTACCTATTCTGATTGGAGCGGGCACTTTAATCATCGCGACATGCATCGAGGCTTTTGCTAGTGCCAGGAAACTGTTCTTTGGGAGGATAACGAAGAAGTATCTGTCGCTGTCGGAGTCTGCGACTCAGGTGACCCCCCAGGACGTTCTCCAGTCGTTCTTGATCAATCATAATTTACTGTGGAATCAAATTTCGAGGTTCAGCTTTGCTGGGGTCAATCCGAAGGTCGAGTTGGCCACGGTTGAGGTTTCCAATCAGAATGAGAAGGATAAGAAGATGTTAATGAACAAGTATCTCAGGAGTAATTTGTTTGTTGTGAGGGAGAAAGTCGTCAGCACTTCTTCGTTAGATTTGGGAGCAGCTAGGGGGACTGTGGTGGCTGTTATCAAGAGGCAGGATCCAATGGGGGATGCCACGAGGTGGTTCGTTGATAATGGGTCTGTCAAGGGATTCATTCACAGCAGTACTCTGGAGCCCATTCCCCAGCCTCGATCACCCCAGAATAACAACGACGTCACTGACTCGAGAAGTGACCTTGGGAATCTGATGAGTTTGGACTCACCGGTGAGGGAAATCAAGGAGAATTTGATCAGTCTTGAGTCACCTGTTAAACAGAGCAACTCGTCGACTTCGTTGCAGAGTTCATTGTATGGAAATGTTGGCGATGGCAACGACAATCAGAGAGTTGGGGGTCAGCAGAGTAGATATCAGAACTTGGAAACCGAATTTTATAGTTTTTATGTTGCTGAGGTTAATTTCGAGGGGGGCATGTCTGGGACTCTGCCTGCGAAGAAGGGAAGAGTGCTCAAGTTGATTAGGCCACATGATGAGAAAGGGAATAGTGAGTGGTGGCTCGTGGAGGACAGGGATGGCGATTCTGGGTACTTTCCAAGTTATTATCTCATTCCATTCCAGGCAGCAACAAATCCTAGGCACGATTAACGAGTGACTTGGGGGCTGGTTTTTTATGATGTTTTTATGGGTAATGTACTATTTTGATACCTGTGATAGCCAAGTGCAGTTTTTGCTGAATGCCAACTATTTTTTACTCGTGCATTGGGGGACCTTCTGCATTGTTTGTGCTGGATGTACAAACAAGGGTATTATTTATTTATTTCAAGTTTTATTGTCGTTTTAAGTGGAAATTATTGTTGTGCTATTTGAGATTCGTACTTATAAGATTTTAAGTGTACAATGAATTTCTGATTTTCATTATAAATTGTAACATGATAAAAATCATGTACTGTTCCTCGCCTGAACTGACCGCGGATCATGGGGGGGAAATTAGTATTTTTACCTCAGCGAGGAGTCGGATCACCCAGAGCCACAATTGTCATTTTATTTTTTTATTTCTATCATTTACTTCCTTTTCATCATTCTCTCGAACTCTGTCGATCGCGCTCACCGTGGGTTACGTGAGCTTCCTGGCGAAGGGAGTGGAGCGGAGCATCGGGAAGGGCTACAAGACGGCGCTATACCTGAGGAGCAGCACACCGACGAGCACGCACACACCGAGTCTGGGAGACTCACACCACGTAGGACGCGAAAGACGATCGTCACACGCCAGCATGCATCTCAGGCCTCTACGTGCGAACCCCCACCACCTCACCGATGGATCGGCGGCACAAGGCCGTCCAGTAAAAAACCGATGCTACAACATTGAGGGAGCATCGGATTATGTTGGCTCCTGCGCCGCTCAACGCGGATCACATCCACCGACCGCGAGGCGCAAGTCCCAGTTTTCTGGGACTAAAGAATTTGGGATTAGAACCATTTTAAAATGCTAGAATCAAATTGTCGAATCCCCTGGATTCTTTGCGCTCTATCACGTGATCGGGTGGGGGTAGAAAAGATTTTGAGGTTCCTCGGGGTGATGTACGGTCCCGACGAACACTCTTCGTTGCAATTTATTTCAATAAGGTCGCTCAGCGCCATTTAAGTTTTTTTCGCTCTTCGAGTTTATTTGATCGGAAGTAAAGTACGTGGTAGTGTTGTGCACGTTGGTTCCGGCTTTATTTTCCGACGTCGCCGTACTGAGGGTCCAGACGAGTCTGCCTGGTGATCTCGTGAAATTACGGTGAGCGTCTATTTTCCTTGTGAGTGCACGCGTCATTCCAGTAGGGAATCCACTCCGGCGCCCATTTTGGGGCCGTTTGAGAATGTTCTAGAGTCTGCTTGTGGCGCGGCACTCTGTAGCCTCCAGCTACCTCTTGATTGATGTCATTATTAGTTTCGCTACTTAATTGTTGTTACGAATCTTCTTTTGTGGGAAAAACTAATCCCAGCTCATTTAATACGTCGACCTTCATCATTAACTTTTATGTCGTGGTTCTCGCGTCGTCGTCGCTTGCGGGTGATCCTCGCGTCTTAGCGTCTCCCACGCATTCTTAAGATTATTATTATTTCTCTTCGTTAATTAGCATCGCTAGGTCAGTTACATTTTTTTTTTGGTGTATAGCATCTTTGCTCGTGGGAGTCCTCTCCTGCACGTGTACAGAATTCTACCGAAACTCTCGTATGTACGAGGGAAAGATCACATTTGATTTATGATTTGGAAATATAATTTTTTGTCCGTTTTATAAACAATTGCATTGTTGAGTACGCTCATTGTAGCCTGTTCCCACACGCCTCCGCGGTTATCTGAGCTAGTCGTGGAACGCGGCTCAACGGTGTGACCTTGTCCTTTGGCGGTTAAAAGAACTGGCACTCTTGGCACATTGGTTCCTCTCGTATTTCCCCGTCGTTTTGTTCCGGGTCGAGAGAGTCCAAGTTGCAGCCCAAAGTTCGTGATTACCCATGTACACGAATCCCGCGTGTGCGTTTGGGAAAAGACGTCACAAAATATAAGCTTTCTTTATTTTGCAATAGTCGCTCCTGTTTTTTTCACTTCCTCTGTTCCAAGTCTGAAGTTGAAGAAATTGACAGAACCATGATGGTAATAACAATTCATGCACTCAATTCTGGTGCATTACAATTACGCCCGCGACGAGGTAAAAGTTGGCGTGATGTCATTTTTATTGAATTGACCTCACGTTTAGTTCTATTAGCAAATCAACGTTTCTAATATTGAACTTAAACGTCATGACATGGATTACGTTTAATATAGAGTAATATATTTCGTACAAAATTGTTTCATATAAAAATATGAATTCCTGAGGATTACATAATTTTCAATTATTATCAAATAATATTTATAATTAATCCACAATTCGAAGAAATGACATAATATAATTGTTTTGTTCATAATATAATTATTTTGCATCTAGCGTTGCTGAATTCACTCTACACTGCCCGGGCGCGTTTAGCCAGTTTCCGGCAACGTCGCGTCATGGGCAATTTCATTTAAGATGGAAAAAAATAATTCATCTGTTTGAAATACTTCATTTTCTTAAGGGATTCTTCAGCCACTTCAGTTGACAAAGTCAAAGTTTTTTTGAATTTTTCCGGTTAGTCAGTCAATTGCAATTAAAGAAAAACGACGCGTGCAGGGATTTTTCTCATTTGGTGACCAATCTAGGTTTAATGTTTTCTCAATTTTTAATTCTTAATGTCGAATTCTTTTCAAAGAAAATATCAGAATACATTTTTTTGTTAGGGGAGAGTAGGGCAAAACGGACCATTAGTTTTCAACATGAATCAACAGTTCCAAAAATATTAAATTTCATTCACTAATAAAAATTCAAATTAATCATCATGTTTTACCACATCATCATTGATTTATCCTCCGTCAATTTGCTATTTTGATCAATAAAATTACTGAGTGAATTGTGGACAATGTCCTTTCCTCCCAATCCACAAATTCTCAATAGTAGTTTCCTCGCACTGTCCAGCTATTTCACACGTTGACGATCCTGGACACCACCCACACTCGTAATTTCTCCCGAAAGAGAAGCAGGAGATGCAGTTGTTAGCCATGTAGCGACACTTGTAGATGATCAATTTAATATCCTTTGGGTTCGATAGTTCTCTTCCACCGTTTAATACCCAGATAGGAAGTTGAACGAAAGGCTCGTCAGTGGGGTACGAAAAGTGGGCATTGCTGCAGGAGATGGTGTCCATCAGCAGTGTAGCAGTGGTGGTGATGGCTTCAGGACCATCACCAAAGCGACAGGTGAATCGTGACTCAGAGAACACCTTCACAGGTCAGAGAATCAGAAGGATTATAGATAAATCAAAAGATCACGTCTGAAATTTAATGGGAAAACCTAGCGTTTTCGGTAGGGAATTCTATTGAATTTCGATTAGAATTCTGTCGAATTCTTTCAACGATTTTCATTGCAAATTTTACATCCTTTCAGTGTAAACATTCTAAATATTCTAATATTAAATATTTCTAAGTATTTTTTTCTTTCAAATTTTTTTCAAAATTGAAGAAAAGAAATTTCAAGAATTCATCCCCAAGAATTTTTACAGAAAAGGCCCAACACGATATATTGTGTAAAAATGGAAATCTGTTGAGTTTTTTTTTATCAAAGATCTATTCAAAAATTGCATGGCTATTTTTGATCATTTCCAATAGAATTTGGTAAAAGACAAATAGTTTTCAATAAGGGAACAAATTTTTTCAATAGAATTCATGCAGAATTTCAATAAAATTGTAATAGAATTCCAATACAAAACCAATAGAATTTTTACGGATCTACAGAAATTAAAAGGATCTAAAGAATACTCACATGCTTCATTGAAACCTTAATTTTTATCATTTTGTGGGTATCAGAAGGCAAAGTAATATTTCTCGACGTCACGATTCGGGGGCAAAAAGAGGCTCCTTTCCGATGTACTTCCCCAGGATACTAGGATGCGATAAAACAATTAGTTCACACGCCCGACAAATTTTGATAGAAAAATTAGCGAATTTCACGTGTGAAAAAATCGTATAGAAATTTTCTATACGGATTGCGTATAGAATTTCTATATGGTTTTCGTACATGATATTTGGAAATTTTTATACGGATATTTTTTATACAAATTATTTCTATACGACAAAATTCCTAACAAAAAAAATAGGCAATGAGCGAAATTAATCTCCATTTTTCACGCTTACATTTTCATTTTCGATCACTCCTGAGCCACCGCTCAGATTTCCCGGTGCAGCATCCGGTGATTTACATACATTTTGATCCATCGACCAATTGCACAAATCACTTGATTTCACGCACTTCATACAATCACTTAGCGAAGCGCAATTATCCATTCTCAGATCCTCACTTTTTACTATTTTCGAAGCATTAAGAATTTCTACTTCTGTCGTAGAAATACTAGTTTTTTCAGTTGTCGAAATATTTTCTATTTCACTCGTAATCAAGGAAACTTCCTCCTTCACAATTTTCCCCTCGTTTTCTGAAGCAGACGGAATAATTTCTTCCTTTGTGAATTTTTTTTCCACTTCTTTAGTAGCGGAAATTGTCCCTACTGTCGCCACCAAAGTAGACGAAATAATTTCTGCCTTTGTTATTGGAAGAACTGTCGTCTCCGAAGTAGATTTCGAAGTAATTTCGTCCCTTGAAATTGTGGAAATAGCTATTTCTGGAGTTGACGAAATAATTTCATCTTCTGTAATAGCGGCAGCACTTCCTTCATTAGTCAAAGTTATTTGATCCCCAGTAGTTGTGGAATTAATTTCTGAAGTGTCTTCAGTGGAAATTTTCGCAATGAAAAGACACATGAAAACTACAACGACACATCTAAATCTATTGGACGAATTTAATGTATCCTGCTGCATATTCGACGATAATTCGTGCACTTGCAGTGATGGGATTACGACTGACAACTGAACTGTGACAGTCGCAGTGATGTAATTTCTATTGAATTGACCTCACCTACATGTTTATCAGTAGATCGCTGATCCAGATACATTGAACTTCAGCGTCACTGCATGGAGATTTATCTCCAACGATCATCGGTATGAATCATTAGACAGTAGTATATTCAGTACGAAATTGTTTAATATAAAAACGTATACAATTTGAAGTATAATACAATTTTGGCTTGTCGATTAAAATAGATATTTGTATTTGCAAAAAACAATAACATCAACCGCGAAATGATTCGCCGATGAATTCCTGAGGATTAAAACCTTGCTTCCAAACAGTGTCTTTCAAGTAAGAGCCGGTGGTATCGTTTGCCAATAATCCCTCGACAATCTCCTTAAATCCCAGCTGACTTGCTAATACGTATTTAGCTTCAATATCGTTCAATTCTGTGATTAAACTCTGCATATTCAGCGTCATCTGTTTGGTTATCACTTTCTCAGTTCTATATCTGGAACAGATGATGATTTTACCCTTGAAAAAATTGTTTTCATTAAAACTTTGAGCACATCCAAGTATCTTTTGCAATTTGCGTGATAAAAATTTGAAAAATCATGAATCATGATTTTTTTAAACATTCGTTGTTTATAAATAAATAAGTAAAATTGTTCAAATTTTGGGAAATAATTTTATAGAGGAATTCCAAATCTTTCTTGTGCATTTGGATATTTTTATTCAGATAGAATTAGCGAAAAGCTAATAGAATTGCGAATGCACTAGATTGTTTTTTCAAATATTTTCACCCGTAGTGTTTTTGTTCTTAACTACTGAAATATTTTTCTCCTGTAGTAAACATTTACCTGCAATTTCAACGTATTCTTCTGATATCTCGGCACCAAAGGGCTTTGATGAAAGTAATCACTAAATCCATTAGAGTAACAGGTTTATACAAAAGATCCTCTACTAAACTTCAAATACAAATATTTCCAGAGCCAACAGATTTAGAAAAAAATTATTTTCCTTCAGAAAATATTCGTATTCGCCTCTTAGCAACATTTTCTCCCAATATAAATGTCCATCATACCAAACGATAAAACTTCCCTCGACATTTGAGACCCCAAATTCTCTCAGATTTTACAACCCCAAAATAACAGAACAAATCACCTGCAAGAGACCTTAAGCCTCTACAAATTATATACCAGTTTTTTGACATGGATATGTCTAAGTTATCGTTGTGGGGGGGGCATTTAGAGAAAAAGTCCTTATGGATCCTTATCGACAGTGGCGCCATCTATCGCAATTCTTGAGCATTCTAGAATTTTCTAGAAAATTCTAGATTTTTCTAGCAAATCCCAGATTTTTCTAGAAAATTCTCCAGTTTTTTAAGAAATAAATTACAATTTTAAGGGATCCTTAGCACTGGCCGGCAAAATCTGGACAGTTGGTTATTACTGCACGAAATAGATAAAATTCAATCGTATCGTGATTATAAAAAACGTCTTGTCATGATGAGACGGTGGGAAGTCCCGAATTCTTCTAATATACCTACATAAATGTATACAATGAAAAATTATGATGTTCACTGAAGGAAAGGGAAGATCACGGCTGTATCAAAAATACAGCCACCCGCAGATTTTTTTAAAAACTAAACTAAACTAAAATGTTTAAATCAGCTACGATAAATCTAGCCAAGAACCCAGACACCCCAAAAGTAGAAGCTAAATCTGTGTACATACGTAGTAATGCAAATAGTTTGTAAATAACCCACTGTAGCTTAATACGTAAACAAAAAAAATCACCTGCAAACGCAGTCCTGAGCAATAGCACTGGTGAGCCTCTTAGACCCCAGAAAGTCCTTGAGATACTTCCCCTCTCCATGAACGATCACATGCTGATAAATAGCACTGGACCAATCAGCATTATACCCATAAGACTGCGCAAGAATCAGAGCCTGTGGAAAGCTGAGGGCCTGACAAATGACCCTATTGATCTCATCAGTAGTCAGATTCAGCAGACAAGTGGCCTGTTGCCCCTGCGCCACCCCACTGAGCAGAGACACCTGAAGCGCCACCAACTGTGCCTGATGGCAGCACCGATTCGCCAAATTCAGCTTATTATCCCTCAGATAATACTCAGTAGCATGCGTATAATTCGTCATTGCACACTGTAGTTTCCTCTCAGTGCCATCATTCCTCGTGAACTTGACACTCTGATTCATCATCAAGGTCCTGATGTTCTCCCTCCTCGTGTCCCTAATCAACTCCCTGATGATCCCCTTGGCCTCGCTCTCCCACATGACAGCAATCTCATTGTACAACCGAAAATGGTGTGCCACCAGGGTAAACAGCTCCTTATCCTCAGGATACTGTTTCTTGCAGAACTCCAACAGAGCCATCTTCAGTCCCGAGACCTTATCAGTCCCAATCCCCAGCAGGAACTCAAACTGATCGTTCTCCTTCAGAATCTGTAGGATATAATTCATCTCTGTGAATCTGCCCACCCCAGTCACCAGTCTCACCAGCAAACTCCAGAGTTTCAAACTCTGCAAAGTATTAGACAGCTGCTGACTCTTCCTGAGGACAGAGGCAATGCCCTCCATGCTGCAGGCCACAGTAAAGCAGTGATGAGCCTTGATCAGCAACTCCACCACGATCTTGAGGATGGAGGCATCCCTGCGGGCCCCGAGGGACTGCCCCAGCCTCATCGTCACGCCCTTCAGTAGCTCCCACCCGAGCAACGAGGCGTCGTCACACAAAATCGTTGACAGCGTGAAGGTGACGTCCAGGGGGTACCCCCACATCAGCATGGATTCGTCCAGGTTCTCCTCCACCTGCCTCGTGAGATGTAACAAAAGTTCCCCAGCCCAGAACTTCGTCACTGCAGAGTTCTGTATTCTGTAAGCCGAGATGACCTCCCTCATCAGCGCAAATTTATCCGAATGATTGACATTTGTGATTTCGAAGAGCAGCTCCATGGGGTCTCGAGACATCAGCAATGTCCTGTAACTCCCCTTCAGGTGAATCGATAATCTGTAAAGCACGAGGATCTTGCGGCCCACGTCCCTCCCATGGTCCAGATTTTTCACCAATTTCTCCAACAACAAGAGGCTGTCAACCTGCTGATGGTACATTGAGGTTGAATCATTCCCATCAGCACTGGAAATAGGCGAGGGGAGATTCAGCGATGAAGAGGACAGCCTCCTCTGGGGCCCTCGATTCGTCAGCGTGGAGATCTGATTGATCTTCTTGACGTCGGAGCTCTCTAACAATATTTGATGCTGAGGAGACAGTTGATAGGGGGATAGTTCCCCCTCAGCCAGAGACAGAGACAACATCAAAATCTGCAGGTCTTTGTGTTTATAATTGAAGATTGCTGAGATCCTGAGGGACGTCTCGAGGTCGTCGACGTCCAGGAATCGATTTATCAGAGCTTGAATGGCCTGCTCCTCGGACTCGTCGTTCAACGAGCAACTGACCCTCAGGTTGCTGATCCCAGAGAGCAATTCAGTCTTGAGTTTGTTGAAGTGTTTCTTCTCCCTCAGGATCTCTATGGCTGCTGGACCTGCCAGGATGCAGGCCTTCCACATCGCCATCTCGACTGTGTCGATCGTCTGCTGATCAGTCGAGATTGGCTTCAAGGTTTTCAGGGCAAGCTCCAGGATCTCGTACATCTCCTTGTACGACTCAACCTTCCCAGCATGCTCTATGAAGAATGAAGCTGCATCCTCGAAGCGGACCTCGTACTTCCTGATGTCGTAGGCACATTTCTTCCAGAATACTGCGTCTGATTTGCTCGGGGCATTGAGCAGGTGCTTTTTGAATTCGGTTCGATACTGCTCGAGGATGATGTTGGAGCAGGGGAGGTGCGCAATTTTCGATAGCTCAAGGGCACTCGGGAAGTCCTCAATCTCCACCAGATTTCTTATGCAGCGTTCGACCTCTTGGGTCACTGTGAACTCCTCGCCAGTCAGTTTAATCTGTTCGAAATCCATTTTTACTGGAGTTCTTGACAGGATCGTGATGATGTCCAGGAGGGACTGGAAGTCGGGCTCGTCGATGTGCACTTCCTCGTTGAAATTGCAATCGACGATGAGGTTTAGGAACTTCTGCTGGAGGTGCGTGCTGAGGAAGTTTGAGTTCAGGGATGATGCGATGCACTCAATGCAGACTGTCGCGATCCAGTACTCGTTGTTGAGGTAGGTGGTGTCTGAGTCGTTCCAGTCGATGGTTTTGTTGCTCTTGAAGGTGGAACAGGTGTTGATGAAGTCGACGAGGATCTTCTGGCTCTCCTCGAATTCACAGGATTTCGTGCATTGGAGGAGGAATTTGAAGAATAGGTGGAGGGGATTCTCGGGGAGGAAGATCTCGAAGCCTTTGGAGAGGGTGTCGATGTACCCCAGGGACACCAGCTTTCGGAAGAGCTCGGAGATCCTTCGGATCGGCCAGATCTGGTCGGCCAGGCAGTCGGAGTAGGCTCTGATGAGGTCTTCGTTCTCGATGGAGATGACGAGCCAGGAGTAGCAGTAGGAGGCTGTTGAAGAGGGCTCGTAGCAAGCTGCCAGGATGATCAGTACTGAGGAGGACGTCTCTCGAGCTGCTTTGAGGAGGGCCCCAGGGGGGTCCTGACTCTGGTCGCATTTCAGGATTGTCAGCCAGAGGTCCTGGTCGAAGGGGGTCTTCTGGTTGAACGGAAAGCACTGGTCGGTTTTTAAAGGAGATTCTGGGGACGTCTGGGTGGAGATCGTGGGGGAGTGGCTGGGGAGACTGTGGCTGTGCTTTCTTTGGTATTGTCTTGATGATTTGGGCCTTTGGGTCTGCGGGGGGTTCAAGTGGGAGTTGCTCAGGGATATCAGTAGGTGCTCACGGATCGTTGGGTCTTCGAAGTATGCAGCGTTTTCTAACACCTAGAAATCGAAAATAATGCAAAATTTACTTGAGTTTGTCGGAATTACTGGGGGGCTACGTCCCCTGCTCGCTCCGCTCGCCAACACCTATATGATCCCCATATAACTCCCATAATCCTTATTCTGACCCTTTTGACCTTTAATCTGACCCTCGTGACCCTTAATCTTATCCTTGTGACCCTTATTTAGACCCTTATCTGGCCCTTGTTACCCTTATTTGGACCTTTGATCCGACCCTTGTGAGTCTTAATCTTGTGACTTAATCTTGATTTTCGCTGATATATTTATGAAAATATATGGATAAGTCGTATTTACCTGTTCTAACGGATATCGAAAGATATTTCCAACCAACACAAACTCAAACCAATGATTCCCCCTTGCCAAATACTTCAGAAATGAAACTGGAAACAATGCATTATGAGCTCTTGCAAATCTCACAACGAATTCCCAAGACTTCAAGCTCTGAACGAAATCACTGACGTTGCTCATTGACACTGAGGTAAATTCCACTGCAAAACTCTGTTCCAAGTGATTCAGAAGAATCTCCAAATCTTTCGTGTTTTGATAGGCCACAGACTCAAGGAGGTCATCTGAAAGTTTGAATGAAAAAAAAAATGTTTCGCAATCTCCAATTTTATCTTCGCTGAAGAGATAAATTGCCAACTCTCGAAAAGGGGAAAGGTAATCTTACTTATCGAAATGTTGAGTTTACTATGGACATAGTCGGCAGCAGTTGCGTGGAGTCTCAAGCACTCGGAGTCAACTCCAAGGAACTCGATGAAGCAGATACAATTGGAAATTATTTCTGGGTTGTCGAGGTTCTTCAGAGCGAATGCGTGAGCTTGGAACGAAATTTTTGATTTCCTGCAAAGGGAAAATATCATGAAAAGTGATAAAAATTGGAGAATTATGTTTTGAAGTGGAGGAAGACAAAAAGTTCAACATGACATCTCCGGTGATGATGCAATTGTATTGAGAATCAATAATTTCTAATATTTAATAATTAATAATAATAATTGATAATTTGGATTTTGAATGAATTTTCAAATAGATAAAATTACTCATCAATTCCCGATCCATGTTGAAAACTGAATGAAGTCTTTTCTCATATTTAAATAAAAATAACGATTTTTCGGTAATTACTCAATTTTTTAAAGTTATTGTAAAATGAGCAAATTATATCAAATTTATTTTCCAATGAATAGGAAATTGAAGGTAATAAAACCTTCAATTTTCTTAATTACGAGGAACTCCGTTATTATATGAAATTTAAATTTTTATCTAATTTCTTCAGAATAACTCATTTGTTAGTTATCACTCGTTAGTTAACATTATGACTAATAATTTTCACTTGAAAGTTGCATTCAGATTTTCAAATGACATTTTTCTCAATTCTCAAATTATCCATCGCCGGAATAAATTAACAATTAACACGATGAGGTGTTGAAAATGAATGAAAACTGGATAAATAATCTTACATTTTAGAAGATAAATCAGCCTGCTTCCCCTCAGGGTTCAACAACACGTATGCAGCCATGCTGGGACGTGCCTCCTTCAGATAATACTTGTAATTCAACTTCTCCTTGTGCCCATATTTCTTAATCAAACTGGCATTAGCAAAATTAGGCATTTGTTCCTTCTCGAATCTCCACCTGAACAACTCGTGGATGTTCAGATTCCTGAGGCCGTCCAAGAGCTGGTACATCGTTATGTCATTCTCCTTCTCTTTATTCTCGAGGCAGTTTTTAAGATATGGAATTTTCTGAAGCAGTTCTGCAATCATTCCAGATGGAATTTCGATATCTTCTACTGTTAAGTTCGTTTTAGTAGTTAAAAATTCCTCGAATGTTGGAGATTCTTCGTCTTTATTGTCTCTTCGCGCTTTGGACTCCAAATATGCCAAGAAAATTAAGTAAAACGTGAGCAGAGACTCGTTTTTTAAATATTCCTGAGGATTATCCGAGATTTTATGGATTGTCTGACAAATTCCAGTGATCAAACCCCTCACAGAATTCTCTGAATCATTCAATTTCCTCAATGATCTCAGTAACTCTTGATCCTGACAATACAATCTCTCATCGGAATTCTCTTCGTTTTGGTAAAATAAAATTGAGTGTCTTTTTCTTGAGAATTCTTCCTTATCCAAATTACACGAGCTCTTGGATAAAATTCCATCAAAATTCTTGGGAGTGATTTCAGCACTGAAAAATCGAGCTAGCGTTAATTTAACATCACTCCTCTCTTTGTTGATAAAAATTCCATATTTACAAAGGTGGTTGAGCAAAATTTCTCTGAAGGGAAAGGACATATTGGACTGCTCGATTCTTTCTATCATCTCTGGCGAGATTTCAAGTCTGTCAAACACATCGACAAGATGGGATTTTTGCTCCTCCTGCAGCTCTTCACGATTTTTCGAGTTTTCTTCCCCAAATTTTCTGTCAATCCACTTAATCAAGAGTTCGATGTTGTCCTCGGTTAGGAGGTAATCCCAAACTGCGGAGCTCTTGAGTTTCTTAGAGAGGCAGGACTCATAAGTATGGAAGTATAATTCAGTCAAAAGTGGGGTTTTGATGTGTGGAGGAAGATTAAGCATTTCTTCGATGGAAATTTTTTCGATGGAGTGGCCGTCGAGGGTGTCCCGCGACAACTGAATCGTCTCGTATTTTTTTATGCATTTGATGATCTCCCAAGCATCAATCTGTTCCTCAGAGAATCCCTTATTCTTCAGCACGTGGTTTGCCAAGTAATCTCGCAATTCAGGATCTCTGCTTTTTGTACAGATCTCGGCGATGTAGACTATTGGATCCTTTCCCTGTTGAAATATTTTTATTGAATATTTTTTCTATATTTTATAGTATTGTTGTTGTTGCTTTCAAATGAATGCTTTGTAATCATCCAAATTCAAGTTTTGGAGTTCTTGTGTTATATCGACCAAATATGATGCAAAAAGTCCGAAAATTCAATTTTTTCGGCTATTCAATAATCACAGATGAAATTATTCCACTTATAAACTCAATCACCCCCATATTGAAAACCACAAATCCAAAAATCCTTAAAATACTACACAAACACGCACGAAAAAATTTAATAGAAAAACCTATCGAATTCGTTGGAAAATTCTATTGAATTTCTACTAAACTGTCTATTAGTTTTTGGCTGATTCTATTGACATGTCCAATAGAAAAAATTCAATAGAAAAAGTTAACAGAATTCGATTTTTCTATATAACTTATTCTTTTCATATATTTTCTATAGAATTTGCTCGACTCAAATTTTCCAAGTTTTTTCATTCTATTTTTCTTTTCTTCTCAAATCAAGAAAATCAAACGAAAAAACTTGGAAAATTTGAGCCGAGAAAATTCTACAGAAAATATCTCAATAGCATAAGTTATATAGAAAAATTGAATTCTATTGACTTTTTCTACAGAATATTTCAATAGAATCAGCCAAAAACTAATAGAACAGTTCAATAGAAATTCAATAGAATTTGCTAACGAATTCTATGGGTTTTTCTGTTAAATTTTTTCGTCTGTGAATTCATCATAAATAGTAAATTAAATATCTAAAATCAATGATTGTAAGAAGTGTAAATAATTAAATTAAGTTGATAGAATATTACTGATAGTGCAAATAAATCTTGAAGATTTAAGCACTTTAAACAATAAAAAAATGAAATTACAATAATGATATGATAGTAACCTTGTAACTTAGGGATAAAATATTTCTCGATAAACTCAGACACAAAATTGTCCCCAGAAAAATTCTCTCAACAGTGTCATTCTTTTTTAGAATATTCGCAAAATAATCTCAGTAATGCTTAAAAATTCATCTCCAGCCCTTTACGACTTCCCTCCAAATACTCACAACTTTCTGTAAAATATGTGATGCTCGATGAATTTGTTTCTTCCCCAACAATTCTCCAATCCAAACCTCGACCTCTGAATAAAAATACTTCTGGGCCTCCGCGACCGTCCAGTGCCTGCGATAAGCGAGGAACTTGAAAGCAAGGTTGATGTGATTGCCCTTGGCAGAGGCCTCTCTGACCATCTCCCGATCGCCCATGCTTGTCCAACCGGACCACACACCTGCCAGCTCTCCAGGAGTTAAACACTCCACAGGAATGCCCCCAACCACCTCCATTCTCCACTCGTCTGCTCATCAGTTATTTCTTGACCAATTGTTAGTGATTCATTCCTAGGAAACCAATTGCACCACCAGATTTGCACTCGACTGAACAAGTAGGGTGAACAGGCCAATTGCTGGACAGTTAGGGGAATTTCGAGTTTCGTGGTAGGATCTAAAACAAAAAAATCACCTAAATGGGAATATGCACGCACGAAAAAATTTAACAGGAAAACTTAGCGAATTGGTTAAAAAATTCTATTAGATTTGTATTGAACTATCTATTAGTTTTTGGCCGATGTATATTGATTTCTATTGAACATTTCAATAGAAATGTTCAATAAAAAAAATATTCAAACAGAAAATAAAAATAAAAAATTTCTGTTGAATTAAAATAGTCAACAGAAAAAGTCAATAGAATTGGATTTTACTGTAGAACTTATTCTCTTCAGATATTTTCGGAGGGTTAGACAAAAAGCAGCCATTTGTCTCGTTTATTTTTTACATATTCTTTAAATGATGGAAAAGGCGTGTGAAAAGTTTCAGACTGCTGGGGAACATGGTTGAATTTTTGTACGCATTTCGTATAGAAAATTTCTATACGATTTTTTCATACGTGAGGCCAAAACTAAAATAGGGTAGGGTGGGGTAAAATGGACACTTTAGACTTTTTTAAAATTATTCATAACTCAGAAACAAATTTATTAATTGAGATCAGTTGAAGCTCATCACAAAGGGAAAGAATTGTTGTTTGTATTGAAAAAAAATGATTAAGTTTCATCAACATTTCAACCAGTCATTAACATTTTTAAAAAAAGTCAAAAGTGTCCGTTTTATCCCAACCACCCCTACGGATATTTTTTATACAAATTATTTCTATACGATTTATGCAATATTCAATGCAAGTTGAAATCGTTTGGAAATTAACCCCGTCTAGAAATTGGCCTGTTTACCCTAATCGTTAAACTCACCATCAGCAGCATCCAGAGATGGGAAAACCATAGTTAACCCCAGCTGACTCTACACAACTCCTCATTATTCTTCTCCAACAAACACAAAAGACTTCGACAGTTCAAAGTTCGGAGCAATAAAAAATTTGACTCATCAATGATTGGAAATTAATCTTGGACAAGAGATTGGAGAACTCCACAATTGCACTCCGTAATTGACAATGGAAACAGAACATGCACTGACAACGACCGAAACAAAATGATATCTAGTTACTTTGGGTCGATTACTTATAATTGTCGATTGAAGACAAGTGGGAAAAGTGCTAAATCAATTCTAATCCATGTAAAATAATTTGGGAATCATAGGGAAATAGTTGTTTCTATTTGAGAAAGTGAGAACCTGAGGGGTTGAGGTCATGAAGCCCAAATGCGGAATATCGAGTGCACCAACTAAGGTAGCGGAGGCAGTTCTGATCAGTAGGTATTAGTACTTGATCACTCGGCTATTTATTTATTAAGTGCGAAGTTTGAGTTGAATTGATCAAGAAGGTAAAACCAACAGTGCAAAGAATAAAATCCCTGCTTTCGCTAGTGATCTCAATTGTGGCAGTGGTACCATTGTAAACTGTCACAAATAAATGGTAAAAGCGCGCGAACGCGGGAAACGGCCATTTTCGCCGTTTGCTTGTGGAATGAGCTAAGTGTGTACCTGAAGGTTCAGCACTCAAATTTTACCATGTAAATACCGAATGATCATAAATATGATATAAATCTCAAGTTAAATCATAGGAGAACAACTCAAAATGATAAAAAATGGATAAAAAAATTATTTTCAATAATTACTGTGGTGATCAATAACTGTCGCCTGAATTCTAATCTGTCGGTATTTGTTGATTGGAGGATTCATGAGTTGTCAGCTCGGATTAATTGAGGGCAACTGACAGTTTTTTAAAGAAAATGTCAGTTTAATAATCTGTCAATGTAAATATTCACCTTATCTTTCCCTCATGGTGGTAATTATCGTTGTTGTAACGATGAAAATAGTATCGAAAAATGGTGGGATGCCACGAGTTGATTTTCATTGAATAAATGTGAAATTTTTTCGCGAATGAGTGATTTTAGGAGAAAATGTCAATAAATATTTTTTGTGAGAAATTTCATCATTCACATAAAAGGTCTTTTGTCATTTTCTTGTAAAATGACTCGTCAACGAGAGAAATTAAAAATCAGAAATGTCAAATTTGACATTACTTTCTTTACTTTATCCCAAAAATAACAGGAAATCTTGGACTCGGACGCTAGTCAAGCTGGTTGAGCCGTCTCTCTCGAGGGCTGCGCCGCCCTCGTGAGTAACCGCCTGCTTTCCGCACTAGTTACGTAATGTACTATTTTTGTTCAGCGATTGGTTTTCTGCAGGAAAACAATAGAAAACCCTCGGCCTCACCTCCTACATTTCCTTCTCGCCCGATCATCCTTAATAGAAAAACCTATGGAATTCGTTACAAAATCCATTGTTCTATTAGTTTTTGGCCAATTCTATTGAAATGTTCAATAGAAAAACATTCAATAGAAAAAGTTGACAGAATTCGATTTTTCTATATAACTTATTGTTCTTTTCATATATTTTCTATAGAATTTCCTCGGCTCAAATTTTCTAAGTTTTTTCGTTTGATTTTCTGGATGAGAAGAAAAGAAAAATAGAATGAGAAGAACTTAGAAAATTTGAGTCGAACAAATTCTATAGAAAATATATGAAAAGAACAATAAGTTATATAGAAAAATCGAATTCTGTCAACTTTTTCTATTGAATGTTTTTCTATTGAACATGTCAATAGAATCAGCCAAAAAATAATAGAAAGTTTAATAGAAATTCAATAGAATTTTCTAACGAATTCGATAGGTTTTTCTAGAGAACTTTTTCGTACGTCAATGCTAGTACTTATAGGAGACACTGAAAAGAGCGTGCCTACTGACGGGTTAAGGACCCACATTTTACTAGTTCATAAACAAGCATTGAATTATTGTTAATCTGTCCACACATTGTCTTTCAGTTATGGCATGGAAAGCATCGTCTTCGAAATTTCGGCATGCAGCGCCGATAACGCCGCGGCCGGAGGGATGCCTTCGTGGCTTATATGCTGGGTCGAATCCACACGCCGACTGCATTGCGACCTCCAATAAATGGATGGCAATCAATACTTATCAGAATGGTAATTCAACACACATATTTTTATTTTCACATTCCTTGGAGTTCAATTTTTTTTCGTTATTTCGTTATTTTACATCGCTTCGACCCGGTTAGGGTATACTGCGATGATGATCATGACTTTAAACGGAGTTAATTGATAAATACATGAAAATTCAAGACAATTTCATCGGGAAATTTAGAAAATTCTATCAGTTTTTGAGTGATTGTATGGAAGAACATGTTTTAATTGTCACATTAAAATCAGAGCTCAAATTATTAGAATTTAGATTGATTGGACGACGCAAAGTTAATACTCTCACCTTTTACTAAAATATAAATGAAAAGGGTTTCATTTAGAGATAGGGTTTGAGTTGAAAATATTCACTGATCAAGAACTTTGGAGCTATAGTAATAATTAAATTTGAATTTAAATATATTTTGAAGAAGTATTCGGTTTACAAAAACATAAGTGTGTTTTACAAAAATTTATGTAGTTGAAATTCCTATCCCTGGAATGATCTGAAGGATCCAAAATTTGGGTTTATAAATTTTATTACTCACAATCCAGTCTGTTCTTTATAAAGTTATCGTTGTAGCTGTAGATCCCTGAGTGAATACGTAATTTCCTTACCAGCAATTAGTCGTGCTAAAGGCTATTATGGATACTTTCACGGAGACACTTTCTTCTACACGTTGATGTATTTTAACAAATTTTTATAATTGAATGTTGAGAGTTTGTTTGAGACTGTCCACAACGCGTTACAATCAACGATTCCTTATTTGTAAGAAAAATCATCACTCTCGATTAAAGAAATTTTATTCCCGGATAATTTCAATAGTTCGTAACCTACTATTAATTCGGTACTATCCCGCGTATTTTCGACACTACGAAATCTTATCGAAGGAAGGATTGAAAAACCGGACCAATTAAGTGAACTACTTCCACCAAAATTGCTAATGTTCCGTCGCTGCTTTGACTAATTTTGATTTTTCTGACATTTTTATATGAATTTTGGGGTCACTAGTCACATGGGCTCTAACCAGTCCATTTTTAATTGATGTTCAATCGGTCTTCAATCGTTCCTCTGTTTGCGAATTTTGAAATTGTGTAATGGAGGTGTGCTGAGTGAGACATTTCGTCATGTCGCACTCGATTTCAGTGTCTCTGGAATTTTTAATCGAGTTCAAATGAGGAAATATCCCACTCTATTATTGAGTTGATTATTTTACATTGTGTCTATATTTTAATTTAATTTGAAATTCTCGCATAAAAATTTTGGATATTACTCAAATTTTCACATCTATTCTTAAATTCAATGAAATTCTCTAGATTTTTATATGAATCTTATTCGCATGTGCTAACTTGCTTGTATTTACTAGGATGTAGTCTGGGTGTTTTTGCTCTGGAGGAGTGCTGCAGGATTAGCCCGACAACCCCTATTCTGCATGCACACACACAGGCCGTGACGGACTTCGATTTTTCTCCGTTTGACAATGGGTTACTGGCGACCGGATCACAGGATTGCCTCATAAAATTGTGGCGTATCCCAGAGGCTGGTCTCCAGGAGTCATTGTCCGAGCCTGAAATTTCATTGTCACCACGTAGGAGACCCATCAATCTCGTGCACTGGCATCCAACAGCTGAGTTCCTGCTGACGACTACTTGTCATTCCACATTGTCATTGTGGAATGTCGAGTCACAACAGGAACTAGTCTGTAAGTGTTTTTCAATTGTTTTACGAAGTTATCGTCAAATTTTGAAGTTTCGCGTTTGAATGAAGTTGATAGAAAAACCTAGCGCATTCATTATTTTACGGTTACCAAGTACTTCAATTATTTTTTCTCCAGCGAAATGCTGCTGTTTTCTGCTTTTGTAGTCGAACATCAGAGCTTTCATTGGAGCCCTATTTGATCCAAAGTTTTCGTATATTTTACAATAATTTTATTATTTAAATTTAGCAGGTCTGAATTTGAATCTCGATATTGAACCGTTAGAAAACATTTTAAAAATCTGAAAAAAATTATAAAGTTTAGGGGAGGGTGGGGTAAAATGGACACATTGGACGTTTTTTCAATTATTCATAACTCAGAAGCAAATTTATCAATTGAGCTAAGTTTAGGCTGACCACAAAGGGAAAGAATTATTCTTTGTATTTAAAAAAAATTATTAAATTTTATCAATATTTCAACCCCTCATTAACATTTTAAAAAACGTCAAAAGTGTCCGTTTTACGCCAACATTCCCTACTTTCAGAGAAAGATGAATGAAAAAAATTTGAAAACTACAATTATTGAAAATTTCGAACATTTTCTATAAATCAGTAGCGAAGTGGTACAAGGAGATGAATCAATATTTACTATTGACCAGTTTTCAATCAATATCTCGGAATCTAAAGGAGATAGCAAAATTTTTGTTACGACCTTCTTTGTGGTGTTGATTAAGTACTACAACAAATGCAATAACAAAAATTTCCCTATCTCCCTTAGCTTCAGAAATACTCCTGAAAAACTCAACTGGGAGATAAGTCGACTTATCTCCTTTTACCACTTCACTACTGGAATAATTTATAAACTATCAATTTTCCACCCATAATAATCATTTGTTCAAAATCATAAAAAAATCAGCAATATTAACAATTTTACCAGAAGTCAATTTCAGGCCTAAAAAATAAGGTTTTCCTGAGAAGACCCAGTAAACCGCGATTCTAACGTCGCTTCGCTCGGTTTGATCGCGGTTTACGGGCCTTCTGACGGAAAATTGCATTCATCACACGGTCCAAAAGTATTTTCTGACGAATGTGATTATAGGCCTCGGCTTCGGCTCGGCCTACAAAGCCACATTCGTCAGAAAATACTTTGTGGACCTTGTGATGAAAATAAATATTTCAAAAGTTTAAACAACTTTATTTATTTATTCAAAAACAACGAATGTTTACAAAATAATTCTGTGCAAAATTTAATTTGACCAATCCTGAACATTCCTCAACTCGGGCCTTTAATTGAAAGCCCGAGTTGCAGACCCGAGTTTGTAGCAGCGATGTCA